GGTTGCAGTGGGGGAGGTTTAGGTTGGATATTAGGAAAAACTTTTTCACTAGGAGGGTGTGAAGCACTGGAATGGGTTACCTAGGGAGGTGGTGGAATCTCCTTCCTTAGAGGTTTTTAAGGTCAGGCTTGACAAAGCCCTGACTGGGATGATTTAGTTGGGAATTGGTCCTGTTTTGAGCAGGGGGTTGGACTAGATGACCTCCTGAGGTCCCTTCCAACCCTGATATTCTATGGGTCAGCAACCACACTCAAATTAAGGGTTTTTGTGTGGATGAAACTCAAATTAGAGGCAACACTCAAATTACAAGCTCTGAAAAAGGTGAATGTCAGAAATCATATAAAGGGAATGTGGCCTCATTTTACAACTTGCAGATATGAATTTTTGAGTTCTAATCCCAGCTCTACACTGGCGCCATCTATGGTATTGAATCACACTATCTGCTTCCTCATCTGTAAAATAGAATTAGTACTTTCCACCTCTCAGTAATGAGAGAGTGCTTAAATGTAAAGTGCTTTGGAAATACTTAACATTGATATACTACTGTTCTGCATTATTCTTACAGAGCAGAATAAGATCACTAAAGTGGAGATATGTGCGAGTAATGTTTTCACTCTTTCCTAATTTCCCATCATCAGTAGAACACTCAACCTATTCCTATGTTATTAGGCAATACATTTTCAGCAATCTCTTCTTTTATGCTGAAAAGCTAATGAAGGGTCGTAGATTCATTTCTAGATTATCTGGCTTATCCACAATGGCTTCTGAACTAATGCACAGTAAATTAAAAACAAATCAACAAAAAACACCTCCCCAGTCAGATGCATTTCATTCTAATTAGATAACTGCTGTAGACATTATCAGTCTGAATGTGGAGTAGCTCTTGTCATGTATTCATCCTATAATATTTGAAAAATAAACCTATATCCTGTTAATAACAAATTTCTTTTCCCTTTTTCAAAAGAAGAGGAAGAAGTTATTGGGCCACTACCAGCTGAACCAGAAGCCCCTGTGGCCCCAAGAGTTGCAGAAAGTAGAAAAGTGGAGGTCATCATTCAGGAGAGAAAAGATACAAAGGCTGGTGTGCCCTATGTTCGAGAGTGGGATAAAGGGAAAGGTAAGACAACTGAACTATGAACGTAGCATGGTATAGTCAAAAACACTGTTTGTTAATGGGATCAGAACTACTGTCATTTTTATACATTATGAAGCTGAGAAGTAAAGTAATATACTTTCCCTTTCCCCTTCCCTTTTAAATTTACATTGTCATTACTTTTTGGTGAGCCCTAGAAAGAGATTGACAGCTTTGACCATGACATGAGCAGCTGCTGTAACATAACATAGTTTTCACACAGGTTATTGCGTTCCGTACAAAGATACTGATGGAGGAAGGTTGAAGTGTGAATTTTTTTAGTTTATAACCTATCCTGATATGCAAAAATAATTGCTGTAACCTGACACTATGTGGTATGGATGGGCAGGATGTGTCACACAGAAGAGCCTAAGCTCTAAATGCTTGAGTAAGTAGAGTATTGCACCAAATTACATAAACAGACACCATGGAGGCAAATGGAGTAGTGCGAGGTCACTTTCCCTAAAATACTTCATCGTAGAAGTGAATTTTGAGGGAAGGATTTGAAGGAAAAGCAGAAAGGCTGTTGGCACACACTGAGTGGAGGCTGTTCTGTGATTCTTGTGAAGGATGGTGCATGTAAGAAGATAGGAAAAGGGGAAAAAGAGAGGAAGCAGTGAGAGAGATGTAGGCAACGTTGGACAGATCTTGAAGGTGTGGACAAGTAGTTTGAACTTAATGCAAGATAAGTGTGTGTGTGTGTGTGTGTGTGTAGTAGAAAGTAGTAAATTTGGAATTGAAGAGAGGGCCCTCCCTCATAATAAGGTATAGTTAAATATGTGGCTACAGCAATTTGTATCAAATTGTCAAGAGTTAAGTGATGTAGTTAGGACCACCATATTAATTTATACTCAATAAAAATATTTGACTTTTGGCCTTCTGGTTACGAGGTAACATCAACCCTACTACAGCGCATAGGGGTAAACTTAGTTTAACTGGCCAAACTTTTTCTTAAAAGTGAACGGAAGTGCTCTGAAGAAAGTAACTAACTTTATATCTCAATCATTAATGTATGTGTGCCTCCACTCTGCCCGTGCCTTTATTCATGCTGTGGTTACACTTGGAATCATCTTCCTTTTCCTGAATGCCAAGTGACTTTGCTGTCCTTCAAATCCTTTCTCAAAACTCACTCCTTTCATCTCACTCCCTGCCATTAATCTAATCTCAGGCACTCTGGCCAGAGTGCACCAAAGGAATATTGTGACACAACGCCTGACCTCTAGGCGCTAGAAAACCACTGAAACAACACTGGGATTTACAAAGTTTGAGTTAGGCACTTAGGCTTATATACAATGAATGGGGAGAGAGAGGCACCTTAGGTTGTCGTCTCCTTGTAGGCACAGGGTAGGGGGCTCCCTGAGCTGTTCCCAGAAGGCTTCTTTAGGAGCTGTAGAGCTGCCATCTGCTCTCTCCCAGACTGCCCAGCAACTGTTGGGAACTTCATGTTTTTAAGCCCTTTATTCCACCCTTGACATGATTGATGGGGCCGGAGGAGTGGGGCCAGCCTTGCCCACAGCAGCTCTTTAACCCCTTAGATACCTGTTCAGCATTTATACATTCTGTCACACGGGTTTAGGCAGCAGTTTTGTGCATCACATTGGAGCCAAAACTAGGTCTTAGGTACCTAAAATAGGGAATTAGGCACCTGAGCATTCAGGCCTCTCGCTTCACATTCTGGAACCTGGTTGTTAAATAAAAATAAGACAAATATTAATCATATAAATGTGCAGTCTACAGTATTCCCCGCCTATTGATTACTTGTGCGTCTCCCACCTTCCCTGTCATCCTGCCCTTAGCCAACATGATCTCTTGTCATTATTCTCTGGGCTGTCTTTGTAGTTAGATTGTAAGGACCTCAGAGTGCCAGACAAAAACTTTGTCACCTTCTATAACTTGGGGGGCAGGGGGGAGAGGGGTTAGTTAAGCCTCCTGCGTTCATACTTGTGGGGGTATCTCTTTTTAGTCTGTGTTTGTACAGCACCTACTACAATGGAGACATGGGCTATGACTGGGACTCCTAGATGCAAGAAGTAATGGGCTTAAATTGCAATAAGGGAGATTTAGATTAGACATTAAGTGTCAGGATAGTTAAGCACTGGAAAAAATTACCTTAGGAGGTTGAGGAATCCCTCTCAGTGGAGGTTTTTAGGAACAGGTTTAGGCAAAACACCTGTCAGGGATGGTATAGCTCAGGGGTTCACAATCTTTTTCTTTTGAAGCCTCCACAGCATGCTATAAAAACTTCACTGCCCACCTGTGTCACAACAACTGTTTTTTCTGCATATAAAAGCCAGGGCCAGCGTTAGGGGGTAGCAAGCAGGCAATTGCTCGGGGCCTCATGCCACAGGGGACCCTGCGAAGCTAAGTTGCTCAGGCTTTGGCTTCAGTCCCAGGTGGTGGAGCTTCAGCTTTCTGCCCTGGGCCCTAGCAAGTTTAATGCTAGTCCTGCATGGAGGACCCCCTGAAACCTGCTCACTGCCCCCCAGGGGGTCCCGGACCCCTGGTTGAGAACCACTGGTATAGATAATATTTATTCCTGCCTCAGTGAAGGGGATTAGACTAGATGACTTATCGAGGTCCATTCCAGTCCTGCATTTCTATGATTCTATACTATCGCAATACACTTCTACCCCGATATAACGCTGTCCTCGGGAGCCAAAAAATCTTACCACGTTATAGGTGAAACCTCGTTCTATCGAACTTGCTTTAATCCACCAGAGTGCACAGCCCTGCCCCCCTCCCAGGAGCACTGCTTTACCACATTATATCCGAAGTCGTGTTATATCGAGGTAGAGGTGTACTACTAATATAAATGGTACTCTACAACGGGGTTCTGAACCTTTTTCTTTCTGAGGCCAACATGCTATAAAAAACCTCCACGGCCTACCTGTTCCACAACAACTGTTTTTCTGCATATCCAGTAGATTAAAAGCCAGGGCTGGCGCTAGGAGGTAGCAAGCAGGACAATTGTCTATGGCCCCACACCACAGGGAGCTCCACAAAGCTAAGTTGCTCAGGCTTTGGCTTCAGTCCCGCGCGGCTTGGGCTCTTGCTTTCTGTCCTGAATCCCAACGAGTCTAATGCCGACCCTGCACTCTGGTTTATTTTGGGGGTCTCCCTGAAACCTGCTCACGGCCCCCAGGTGGCCTTGGACCCCTGGTTGAGAACTACAAATAGTGTGTAGACCTAAATTACAAATAAAATTTGAAAAGATAGTTACAAGTCAGTGATTTTGTAAATCAATTTGTAGCACCAAAAGCAGTGTAAGATGTGCAGTTCCTTGGTCTGTTTAGAAACCTTTGTTTGCTACAGTTAACATTTGTATTGGATTAGTGTAAAAAAGCCGTCTTCAGAACTAGAGCCCCTTTTTGCTATACATTGTACAAATCCACAGCACCTGCCCCCAGGAGCTTATAATCAGTTGATAGGTTCCTGTACCACTGTAAATGGGGTAAAAAGCTGTTCAGGTCATCTTCAAAGTAAAACGTATTTATCATGAACTTGAGCGGTCGTCACATCATTTCATAGCTACTTTTAAAAATTTGTCATGGGAACTGATTGACTGTAATGGAAGTTAAAATGCCTACCATTGTAATGAAATAAGCACCATCGCAAATTATAGCACATTCTGACCTTGTTGACTACCCTAGCATAATTGTCATTTTTTAATATCTTTGGGTTCGTACTGCTATGATCTCATTTAGAACGTGAATTTCCATTTCAAACAATTCAGTTTTCCATTTCTGTTAAACATTGAAGAATAAATTCCATGTTTTTCCTATCTAATAGAATTTACTTTTGGACAATGGTCAAAGAAATGTGCAGATGAACGAGATCCGGAATTTGCACCACCTTCCAATTACTTTGTTTGTCAAAAGAGAGCCAATAACCACCAAAGCCAGAGTTGGAACAAGCTTGGATCCTCTCATGAGAAACTGGGGCAGGAGTCAACACAGAACAAGCAGTTTCCATCGATGCAGAATAACTGCAACAGTTCGGAGGATCAGCAACCAGTTTACCAAAGTCTAGATGACATGTTGTCTTACTACAAACAAATGACTTGAGCTTATCAAAAGCACAAGCAAGAATCTTAACTTAAATAAGTAAAATAGAATTATGTTCTTAGCATTCACCTATTTTTCCCATATTTTGGGGAAATAAGGTTCCTGTAAGTAGATATCTTATTAATGAAAGAAGTCTGTCATGTGAAGTAATGCTGTCTGAACTGTATCACACAACAGCCACACATTTGCTTCATCAGTGCTGTATTGTATTAAAAGGATAAGTTTCTGATGGTGGTATTTAATTGTGATATCTGACACTTCTTCCTTACCCTATAACCCTATTCTTTGTCATTTTCCTGCATTTTGCCCCTGTTTTGAAATTTATGAATAGAGATGTTATTTTAAATAGATAAAGCTTGTTTTAGTCCTTTTTCAATGAACTCCCCACCCCCACCCCGAAAGGGACGTTGTTATAAGAGCTAACTTCTAAGAAGTGTCAAATTGAGACTACTCTGACAAACTGAAAATCAAGTCCAATGATAATATGGTCAAATACTTCTAAAGAAACAACATTCAGCCAGTTACTCCAGTTTGCTAATTAAACCGTCTGGTGTTAAATACAAAACCTTTATATATTTTTTATGAGAAACTTATTTGCCTACCTAATGTCACCTGTTGACTTTACTGGCTAGGGTAGTTCACTTCCTATCCCTAAATAGTTGTCGGGTTCCTCATGTTGTTGTTATGCCTGCTGCATTCCGGAGATGTGTATATAATCTGTAATTCTGTAAAGCACTTCAAAGCTTGAGATGCACTGCATAAATCAATATATAATATCCACATGAAGGGGTAGACCAATCATAAACACACGGTTCAAGCAGAAGCCTTGGTACTTGATACTACCATCTTAATAGCTTAAACAGATCTGATATATCAGTGTTTCCAAAATACAATTTTTCTTGCTAGGTATGTGGCTTTATTTTATGTTTAACCCATTTACCAACATACTGACATTACTTCTATGTGCTATTGCAGTAATTGTAGTATAACCAAATTGATATGCACGCTGCTACTACTACACTTCAGTTAGCTAAATAGACAGTGGGTGGTATTTGATATTTAGAAAAAATAAATTCTGATTTCAGGGGCCAGTTTGGATCGTTGGAGTTGGTATTTTGAAAGCTTATCCAAGGACACCAAGATAGAAGAGTAAATCTGAAATGAAATTTCCCAGATTGCCACTGTCACTTAACCTTGTAAATACTATCAAAGTGATAAGCATGGCAGCAAACACTGAAGTGGGCATGGAGACTGTCAGTGTTTTTACTCGTGTAATAGTGCTTTTCATCCTAGGGTCTCAGAGTGCTTTGCAAAGGTTGGTAAGTAATAGTATCCCTATTTTACCAATAGGGTCAGGAGTGCCAAAGTAACTTTAGTTTCATATTTCTATTTAATAGATTTAGTGCTTGTAAAAGGTGCTGCAGAATGAAAAGTTTAATCCACCCAGTGTGTACAGCTCAGCTAACAGTGCAAACTTCTGTGCCTTCCTCACTGATGTTTCAACCCTCACCTGGACCAATTTTTAAGGGGTGAGAGGGGACGTCTATCCGCATATCCCTTTCATCCTCTGAGTTTCTCCCAATGTGAATGAATTTGAAGCAGCAAACTAGAAGCAAACAGTTCTTTGATAATAATTGTTTGGGCCATCCAGTCACCTCTCCTTCGTGCAAAACAAAAACATATAACCATGAATATATTTTTAAAGACCTCAAAACAAGAAGTAAAATGAGAGGAAAATGTTCTAAATCTGGCCACTTTTACTGACTGTCAAAGTTTAATTCTTTATAGTGATGGGTGGCACAACAAAAATGAATGTTTTTCAGCTCTGATCTCTCTGGTTTATGTGTCAAAGTTAATGTCCACCAGATGGCAGTAACAACTCATTGCAATTGCTTTCATCCATGTGAGCAATTTATGTACCATTCCCTTCCCAGTAGCATTGAGGAATTATCTGTATGTATCTCCAGTACATTGACAGACTATTACAGAACCCATAACAATTATCCCAAATGATACACTGAACAATGTATAGCTCAGGATCTTCGGGCTAGCACACAGCCATTTCTACATTTAGACAGCTGCATTCAACAATAACACCTGCAGATGGAACCCAGAGCTGAACGTGAAACAGGCAGGGTAGTCTCAATGGAGTGCCATCAGTTGTGGAATTCACAGACATCAGGCTGAAGTTAAATCTTGCAAACTTTAGAACTAATGCATGGTTGAACTTGTGTAGCAAATAGCTCAGCTATACGATGTCACCAGGACTGTGCCCCTGGAATAAATAACCTAGATTCCTCTTATAAACAAACAGCTTCAGGGTCTGAGGGAGGGGAGACTGGTTTGCCACCCTAGAAATCAAGTAACCGAGAGGTAGCCGTGTTAGTCTGAATCTGTAAAAAGCAACAGAGGGTCCTGTGGCACCTTTAAGACTAACAGAAGTCTTAAAGGTGCCACAGGACCTCTTGCTTTTAGCCTAGAAATGTTAACATATCATTTAAAGAATGTAATGGTAGCTAGAAAGTATGGTAATGGAATCTGTTGAAAAACACAATCGGCTTTTGATCAGAGATTCAGGTGTCAAAGTCCTTTACAAATATTAACTAATAACACCTTCAGGAGGTAGGGAAGTAAATATTACCATCTCCATTTTATGAGAAGGGAAATTGAGACCAGTTACGTGACATGTTCAAGGCCACAAAGAACCACCAGCCGAGGAGGAGGAGGATTTGGGAGTTCCTGATTCCCAGTCCTATATCCTGGCCACTAAGCCATACTAATACTGTACTCCTATATCATTCTGAGGCTCTCTTTTCCCCTAATTTACTGCTTGTCAATTTACCAATCAAGCTAGGGGGAGAACTCTTCTCCTCTCGCAGAATCAATTGAAGCCTAAGCCCATTGTGCACATTCTTAAATTCCTCTTAAATTTTAGGCCAGAGTAGTTTTGAAACGTAGGTGAGCAATTCTCTGTACCAACCAAATGGTTTATACTGTAGGGTTCTGACCTATTGTGACGTAAATGTTCAAGTTTTAGAATGTAGAACTTGGAGCAAATCGCCTGTTCTGTTCTCTTTGACAACTAATATAGCTTATAATAGCAACATTTATGTTTGGAATACCTTTTAGGGGGTTGTTGTTTTTTTAATCAAGAGTAGGTGCATTTAAAGCTGTGGGTTTGATGCATCTTAAATGATCAAGGTAAGAAAATCAAGATATTTTACTGCAAAAAGTTCTAATCTACTATTGGTTCCCATTTTGAAACTATGTTTTGTCATTACTTATTGACAAATAAAATCTCTGGTGTTCATTAACTAGATGCTAAATTGTACTTAGTGTTTGTAGTAGACTTGTGTTCTGATCAAAATTGAATCAAACCCACATCCAGAGTACAAAAAAAAAAGTAGTTTAGGAAAACCAACAGTTGGTTGTAGCTAAGTGAGCAAATCACCCAGGTTGGAAAAAGGTTATGTCATGGTTAAAACACAAGACACAATTAGAGCTAATAAACATGATGTTTAGAGGCCCAATGCAGATTTCCTTGTCTAAATGGCTTGAATAATTTGGCATTGGACTTGTGCATGTGAGCTCACTAGTGGATATTTCTGCATATCTATCACAATCTGACCCTAAATATCTTGTGTGGTTAGGTATAAAGGGTGGGTTTATAAAGGAGCTTAAAGGTGCCAGGCACCCAACTCTTGCTAAATTTTAATGGGATTTAGGTACCTAACTCCCTTGGGCCTCTTTAAAAATCTTAGCCTAAAGGTATAAGGTGAGCCCACATAAAGATATGGCAGCTAGAAAGTAGCAAAATGCCTCATGTGTTGGACATTTCACATTCTTTTAAAGTGGAAAAGCAGATGTGAGTGCTATAATAGATCTGCAGTAGTATGCCATCTAGTCCATTCATCCTCCACGGTAGGAGTGTCTCCTCCAGCCCAGACTTCGGTGCTTTGTCCAATTCAGTTTTAAATGACCCAAGCAATATGGCTTATTAGGGTGTTAATCCTACTCAAATTCCATCAGGAGCTGGCCCGTGTAGTTTAAACACCACACTAGTATTTATTTATTGTCCTACGCTGGTGTGCAGTGTTGCTATACACTTTTACACTGCTATTGGATTCCACACCAGAAGTAGCTGCATTTCTGCAGTGGGTGAAGCAATTCCTGCATGCAGGTTTTTTTTAATCTTTCTGAGTGATATGTTTGCACTACTACTTTCCTCCTAGGGTCTCAACACTTTGCAGATATTCACGAATCAAGACTCTCATCACTGTTCTGAAGTAGCGGAGTGGTGCTGTCCCTACTTTACAGATGAGGTGAAATTGTAGCACACTGTGTCTATCATTCAAAGTCGCACAAAGAGTCTGTGGTAGAGCAGAGACTTGAACTCAGGTCTCTTGTCTCCCAGGTCTGAGCTTAGTCTACTACTAGACAATGCTTCCTTTAAAGGCACTATGTAAATCAGCAAATGTAAATCATAATTTGGCGTAGAAGCAGAGATTTAATTGGATTTGAGCAGATTCCTGCAAAACAGCAGCCAGAATGTTTTAAATGTTGGCCTCAACTTGAATAACAGGTTGTTTGTTATTGTTTCCTTTGAACTACATTCACATCTGTTCCTGTTCTATGTTCCTCTTTTGCCTCCCATTTTAATCACTGACATAAAGCTTTCCACCATCCCCATTCCACTCAGGTTTCCTGTTTTCTGGACCTTTCTGATTCTTGGGTATATGTGACTGGGAACTGTAATGTTCTGGGTTTGGTTCTGAAAACTTGCCTGAAAAGCTAGACTTGGAATAAAGTAGAATAACTGAAGGCAAAGGGTACAGATTTCCCATCTCATATAGTAAAAATGGCAGAACAGAAATTAAAATGAATGTAAAAATTCATCAGGAGTCAATTTGCATGCCGATGTCTGGATTGGCTAGCCCCTAGCCAGCCATAGAAATTTGAACTTTCATAAAAATCAGACTGACACTTCATTAGTTCCAGCTGAAAGTTTACTTTGTAATTAAGAAAATTTGCTTCCTTTTCCTAATTAACCCAAATGTAATTGATCTTACACACTGAGGCACCTGCAACTATATTTGGGATAAAAGTAACCACTACCACTCTGGAAAGTTTAAAATATCTTTAGTTCCATGATGGTAGTCTGATCTAGACAGGAGACCAGACTTGTGCTCTGCCACTAACTCACTCAATGGTTTAATTTGTGGCACAGATATACCTTG